TTGAAGAATATATAAGGAGGCTCAAGATGTGGGTGTATATTGTATACAAAAGCCAAAAACATCAATATACGTGAAGCATCTTCAACGAATGCCTATCGTGAACTACTCACTCCAGAACTCCATAGACGGAATATAGGTAGACAGACAACTTACCCCGGTAGACACTTCGAAGTGTGGCCTGATCTGTACATGTGACAACAATCTCCGTCTTTCCTCGTAGGTTATTTGGGAAGACGCGGCGAGGCCAAACAATAAGGGATTCCGGTATTTCTAGGTGTATAGAAGCGGAATTGGATCATAGTAAACAGGACTAAAATACAATAAGCAGCAAAAAAAAACGTTTCATTTTGCCATCACAGACACCGGTGGATTCCCTTTTTGGGGAAGTAAATACTATTTTTCGGATCACATTTCTAAAGGTGGGAAATTTCAGAAAAAGTCAAATCATTTCTTTGAGCCAGTTAACACAAACTCGGGCTGATCCGTACGATCCGAACACACCACATCAAGGGCAAGGTTTTGGGACAACCAAGCTTTCAAGCCACCTGAGATACGAGGCTCCAATTGGAGCAAGGGGTTTAAATATATGGATCAAGTAACCCACCTAGCCTACTGAAATTTCGTGTCGTTTACCTCTATCGCAAATCTTTACTACTTTTCTGTATTTCTTATTTTGCTTGGACACAGAATTTGGTGGACATCAATGCTTTAGTTATTTATTTGGCTAACGACGATAGACTTCGTAGACTACTAGCTTAACTAAGATGCATATGAAATGAGGGGTTTTCATTTTACTTCTAACTTGCCTAAATGCTTCATACATAGAATAACAGAATAAAAGGATTCAATTGAGATGGCGGTTTTAGGTTTCTAAACAAACTTGAAGGTAGGAAGAAAAATAATTCAACGAATTAATAAGCTTTCCCTAGGAGACTATGGAGGTAGAGTACAACAGGTAGTCATTATTGTTTCGATAAGCGCACCAGTATACAAGAGTGCGATCACTGATTCCAGTCCCATAATGGCACTGTCTGTTGAATACGGAGGACACCAAGGGACAGTGGTTCAGCGGTTGTTTAAGACTTACTCGTGCTGCCTCTACTTATTCGTAAACCTGATTTCGATCATACCTAAGCAGACAGAGACCGATCCCAGGCAAAGTTAACCAAACTTAAATGCGTTTACAATTAAGAAGGATTACTTAAATGAGGTTCTTATATTAACTAACGTGCAGCCTAATGCACAGATATTTTGGACACGTTCTGATGCCAGCTCCTCATTATACACCGTTTTTGTCTGCAAAATAAGTACTTAAGTAGCATTTGTTTTTTTAGATTAAGGCTGGATGTCCTTATAAATTTAAACATATTTTATAGAAAACCTAGACAAAAGTATTCATTCTCGTACCCAGTTGGTACAAGTTCACGTCTTCTCCATATTGTATATTCAAACGAAGAGTATGCTGTAGCTAAAAAACCGTATTCCAAGTCCCGGATATTTTCGTGTTCGAACTACCGCACCGTCTGCGTTTAAAGGGTCCAGTCTCCATACTGCAGGCTTTCCACGTGCAACAAAATCATATACTTCTCTGTGTCACTAAGCAGATACCATATACATATGTGCCATAAAAATTTTTTAAGCATGTAGGCTATGTTGGTTAATTCATTAGGCGTATTACTGAACGAATGGAAAAAATGCTACTTAGATAGACATTATACGGCCTTAAAAATCTCATAATTGTAGACTTTCTTCGAGTGGACTTTTCAAATTGAGACGCCATTTTCCTCCTTACATTCGCATATAAATTTTCTTATATATATCGGTTGGTCTACGTCGCCCATTATAAACCGATTTGTATCCCTATTTGTTTATTTGAACTACAATGAGGTCATCAGTGCACGACGCTAGCGCCGTTTTGAAGGCAGTCCAATTTGGCCTATATTTGAATAATTTTTCAAGGAAATTTATCCACGATTTCTAGAACTAACGTCATTGAAGATTATGGATAACTTTTGATTTCCCGGTGTTGTGAGTTTATGCGTTTTATTTTATTCCTTGTGAATTGAGACAGTTTTGCTGAAAATCCTGGAATGATATTTTCAAAATAAGGCGTATCTCTCTTGATTATGTGTCTACCGAGTAAGATACAGAATATTTTTGCGTAAACTCCCCTTAAATCATAGTGGAATTTATGAGGCCGGCGAATATCAAAATAAAAATGCACATAACTTAAGTAGTCATTTGTTACCTAGTGCGGTTTTGCGAGTGGCTGGAAAAAATGCATTCAAAAGCTGGCATCCTCGCATGCCCAAATATTTTTTGGATTACAATCCAACTTAAGTAGTCTTTCCTAATCGAAAACGCATTTCAGAAACTCGATTGGGCAAGACTGTCTTGTAGGGCCGCCGAAATATGTATTCGCTCCGCCAAACTATCTTATGGAATTGGTGGTTAGATATTTAATTCTTGATTAAGGAGTGTAAATGAATATGTAGTTGTGTAGCGACCTTGTACTTCTTAGCCATGATTTCCTCGGACGCCGCGGGGACAGGTCATATGTGGCATGACCACAATGCGTGCACAAGACACGATAGTCAAAAGCACCGTTCAAGGTCACTCCCTGTCTGGCCTCACTGGCCAACCACTTCTCAACGTCAGGAGCTTACTGCAGGGGAGTTGTTTACGCCCAGTCACTCCCGGAACCGACGATCTGCTGTTCGGTTGCAGAACTCCAGACACGGCAACTACACCGACCGGAATGCGACTCTGGACTCCGGCCCACTCCTGGCTGGAGTGCACTCTTCTGAGAGTCCCTTACCCATTACTCATATTCTACTCCTTCTAACCTTATTAAATCATTCATAACAATCTGGCCTTTCAAGCCTTATCTTATCTACTAGCTTATAAATGTTGGGATACGGTCTATCGTCTATTATCTGGCCGGACCACATCGTATCCCACAGTTGCATCGAAAGTTAACAAAAGAATATTAAATTAAAACCACACATAGTTGCTTTAATGAGCTCAATAGAATCAAATCCGTCATAATAAACTCCTGTTGCTCAGGCAACTGATGCATATTGGTGGAAATTTGATCCTAAAGTTGATCCTAAATTGATCCTAAACTGGAAAGTCGGGCTACTGCAAAGTGTAAAAGTAGGTTGTTATCATAAGCCAAAGGCAAGTAGGACCTCTAAAAACAGCCCTACCCTCGAGATTAATTTTGCAGGAGATCGGGTACTCACTGTAAATGCCCCTTCCAAATTGACAATACTGCTTATGGACTCACCGCTGACAGGAGTGTAGACGCAGAGTCCTTTTGTCTGGTCCACGTTGAAGCCCTTGAATGCCTGGCAGACCGCCTGTGCCGCAGGTAGTGTGAAGGCTGAGGTTATGTTGAGAGGCATGTCCACGGCTCCAAGGGACTCTTCCGACCGAC